CTGGGACTTGACATTTTGAATGAATCATCAGCGCGGAAAAATTTAGATGACGTTCGGGATTTTGCTGGAAACCTTTGGGGGCAACTGACCGCAAACTCAGTGACACCAACTTGGGAAACGGCACCTGGTTGCTAAACAGTTGTCAGGTTTGTACAGTATGACTGTTGCTCCAAAACAACTGATTAGGGATCTCTAATCCAATTCGGAAAGCCCAACAATATCTGATTTTCAGGAAACATCGGCCTTCTTAGGACAGTTCTTACGTGAATTCCACGTTCCGCGTTCCAATTTTAGAATGGATGTGTTTCATTCTCTTCCAGACAGGTACTAAAAGTCCTATTTTTACCTGAAGGATGTGTACCAATCACGTGAATGTCACGTGATTTAATCCTGACCACTTAGCTTCAAGTGCCAAGCCAGAAAGCTATCGTCTCTGCACTTGTCTCCAAGTGCAGTGGTTCTTATCTGTGCGGTTTCCATCCTAGCGAAAACATCAAGGTTTCAAAACAAAACTCTCAGCCAAGATTTCGTAATTTATGTTACTTCGACCGCGAGCGTGTTGTTCTTCGAGCACCAACGTTGTTAGCACTTTCGGTTGACTGAAGCACCATAACTTGCGGTGTATCGTGCGCGGCCGTTATGCCTGTACTGAGCCTGCCAAACTACACGATAAGGGGAAGACAGAGAACCCTGGTCACGGCTGTATTGTCAGGACAAAACACACAGAGCTTCTTTCCAAATCTGGTCGTTCACTTGTACGTTCTGTAAAGCCAATGGCGACGTTCCTGCCGTGAGCATCCTCACACCCGCTCCACTGGTCACGTGCTACTATGTCGTGTTTAGCAAGCTCCGCTAACGCACCTGCTATCCGGAACGTCAATGGCGACCTTGAGGTCATGTGCACATGCACTTTTTTCGTGTCTAGATGCGTCCCGACAATTTGACACTTGCGGAGATTCCCGTAAACTATTCCTCAATCTACAGCATCGGCCAACTCAATAAGTCTAGTTCATTCAAACAGACGTTCATTTGCTTTACAACCCGAAAAAACAGACACTCAGACGGGTGTTTCATGCTCTTGAACTTAGGCTTTCGTTTTATGGTTCAGTGACGATCATTACGAGTCACTGGGACAAATAGTCTGTCCAAAAGCCATAAGTGATGGTCCGTTCATTTGTTTGCGTGCGCTCCGTAAAATCTGGTAGACTGGCTGACTGTGTATGATGCGTCCGTTGCTCACCCGATTGGTATGCGACCATGGGCCCCAAGAAGGGCGAAACCGGTAGTGGGCTGTCGAAGACTTTTCAGCAACCTTATGAGTAGTGTTTTAGGTGTATACATGTATGGCGATACCTCAAATCTCGTAGCAACACTCGGTTGCTTAAAAGCATTCTAGACAAGAGATCCGACTGGGTTCCATGCGAGTCTTCGGCAAAACCGAACTCGCATTTTAATTCGTTAGGGGGGTCTGATGTGACCTGAAATTACTGGAACAATCGACTAAATCCCGGTGATGACTGAGAGAGAGAGAAAAAAAGAATACCCAAGCCGACTGTGTTGACGGAGCATTCATCGGGTACCTCAGTAATATCGATCGATTTGGAAAGGTCGACAATCACCTCAGAGCCCTGAAAAGAGCATTAAGCAGCATTAATGGGCCAGAGTACCTGATGGCGAAGTAGTGTCCCAACACTTAACTCGTTATCAGGAAAGTAAGAGTGGTTATTTCACAACCTCTTACTGCATTAGTAACTAGAACTGGAGGTCACAGAACACCGATTTATGCTTCTTTCCGGTAGCCTACGGTACCAGTCAGCGTGAATGCAAGCTGCTTTTTCGACAATCGACATTAAGAATGTACAATGAGTAAATCGTTTTCTATCCCATCAAGTTGAAACCAATACGTACAGCTGTCCACCGAATGATAGACAACAGGTTAAGCTTTCTACAGGCGATCGATAATGGACACGCGCACACGTACCGTTAATTACGGTCTAGAACACAGACTTGTGTTTGACATCGGACATGATCTAATCGGGTCGATCAGTGACAGGACATCACCGCAGACTGATGATTTCTCGTTAGAATGGTGAAGAAACACCGGGTGAAGAGATCAGCTGGTACATCGGCGAATTCGGTTTGGATGCGTGCAAGTAGGGTACACAGGATAAAACGCTTTCATGCAAGCCATGTGAACAGTTACATCGCGTGATGGAAGGAGGAAGCAGTGTTGGGGATATCAATATCGCCCAGAAAACGCTGTGTTTTTATGTGTGCTAGCGAACTCCCGGCATCTTCAAAATGGCCTATTGATACTCCAAGGAAATTTAGATCCGACCACGTACAGGATACCATTCTTTCCACTGACTTGGGTTCGGAAGCTCCGGGCATCGCCTGTTGATCGTGCGTTGTTGGATTATTAAAGTTTGTGTCCGAGGTTTTCGTCTTCTTACTATTCGCCGTGCTAGGAGTCTGGATCAAGCAACATAGCTGGGGATAGAGTATTGCCACAATCCGCATTATCATATTGTTTGCTCGCTGCGTGACAGAACCGTAACACAGTATAACCAGAAATGCTCAAGGTAAATCAGGGGGAAGGACATATATTGCCTAACAATGATGCAGAAAAGATCCCACGTCATGGGGGCATTATGGTATGCCTGCAAGATTTTCTCCGAACGGGAATGTTACGCCCCTTTGTTTGATCGACAATGCTTTGGCCAACTGAAATAGATTTTTTGTATCAAACGGCGCTTGTCGCAAGTCAACGCAATGGATTCGCATCGACCCTTACAGCCCATGAAAACCCAAACGTGCGCCGTGATTGTATCGGTTTGTTAGGAGTGAAAAGACATCGGAACGTGTTGTGCCCAGGTGTTTGTTTGTTCACCAAGCGAAAGTGAAGTAAATCGATGACGGAAGGCTGATACTGCACAGCTGTGGGGATCACCTACAGCAAGAACCTCAAGAGTTTCCAGTGAGGCTGGAACCCGCGTTCTACTGATTAGTAGTTGAAGGCCACGACAGCTGATTGGGATGTACTGTCACCCATTCTACACTCCCGCAGTTCGCACCATTTGGTCACGTGCAGATCGACTACCGTGATACTTGCGCATCCCAGCCGATCGCAAGTACCCATACAGGTGGAAAAGTTCTACCCTACTGTATAGTTAGGATACACATTACTAACAAGTTTATGGTTCGCTACTGGTGCACACGGATAAACGAGGTTCGCTTAGTGATACTTGCAGGGTCCCAGGGGTTTTATTTTCCTAACTGGAAACTACATGTGAGAATTTAGCGTCGATTGGGACGTAAATATATGACATGCGTAAGACACCCTATCATAAGCTATATCATTTGAGATTTTTCATAAACACCATGCTTCTGTATACACTGTCAACTTCATCCCGAGTGATTGCTCAGATGAGTATTGGTTCAGCTGTAACACCGTTTTGGTGTCTAGTTACTAGACCACTTGAAGGAAGCACGAGGGCTCAGATACTGCACCACAGATACTGTACCGCGGATATTCCGGTCAGTAAGTTCACGCCTTAACCACTGAGTTATTTCGAGCTGTTGCTCAGCTGACGCGTGAAACAAATGTCTGGTCCAAACTTCGCCAAAAGTTGTGTTCAGTCACGTTCATCAGAATGCTCATCGGGTAGCAAAGTGGATCAAACATGTGTAAACTTCTTGTTCACCTTTATTTCGGAGTAGCAGTCATGTCACCTGAAAAGAACCAGACGAAAACTGCTGTGAATCGAGACCACTTGTGCGGTGGACAGCTGTGAAAACGATTTCCGAAACGACAACAGCTTTTGAATGTCTCCCATGAAACTGAAAAAAAGTCGGTGTATGGTTTCGTGACCCACGATCATTTTTCAAAGCCCTTCAACTACGAACAACCAAGAAAGGTGAGTGGAAGTGAAGTGTGTACCAGCTGGACTATAAAATATTCGAACACCTCATTATCTGGCATAGAGATTGATTGATTTCCTGGTTGCGCAAAAGGTGCCTTGCAGTGTGATCGAAGAACTTGATCCACTAATGGTTTGATATCAGAATCATCTATTAGTTCGATCAGGGACCTTCTAATCCAAGAACCCTTCAGTAGCAATATTCTATACGACAGTACTTGGGGTTCTTTAAAGAAGTAGCGCGAAACCACCGTGGTTACAGCAAAATATCGATCCAAGGTCACGAATTTTGGTGTCGAAATACGTTGGCGTCTGAGTATTATTACAGCACTCGAGGTGTATGAAGAATGTACTCCTGACCACAAACCAGAGGATTGAGATCAGTTAGCTGTTCCATTGAAGTAATTATCAGTCTGGAAGCAAGCAGTAAGCGTGCACACCTTATCTTGCATCTCTACCCACCATTGATTTTGCGGAGCAATTACTGCAATGACATGAGGTTGGTTTAATTAGACTTGAAAGACCTCATGCACATTGCACGCGTTCATTGAACAAGTGCCTGTATCGCAGTCACCAAGATGACCAGATAAACTAAGGTTCCTAGGCAGTCGTAAACTCAGCACTTCAGCTTGATGGCAAGTCATAATCTCCCAAGGCTGGAAAGATTTCCGCTGATTTGTCAAGTGACACTTGTTCAGTTATTGCTCAGTCACGCTCGACTAGCCTACAGGCGAAAGCTGAGCGAACGGTTGGCTCAAGGATATCACGTGACAGACTTTTTGAATATCGTCACATGACCTTTTCGAATCAATCACTTGTTCGGGTCCCACCGTCTACCCTGCCACGTTTCGATCAGCCTCCTCTACCCATGTAGAAACGCGCAGAGAAGAACAAACACAATGCTTTGAAATGAAACGCTCATGGTGAAATTGTTCCGAACTGAAATCATAGTATGAAAGTATATGACATGACTTGGTGCCTCAGTGAAGCAAATAGCAGATGAGCGCAAAAATAACACCATAGCAAGAGGTCAAACAAATAACAAATGTCTTCAAGCGCAGTAAGGGTATTTCGCGATCATTTTGGGAGCAGTTTCTTCTCAACATACTTTATCAACGGCTTGATTCTTTTACATGAGTACAACTCTGGTGACATGATCGAATTCGAAGTATCAGATTCCATCAACTTTGACTTGGCTTCAAAACGGCTTTGGACTGTTCGAAGGGCGGGTAACACGTCTTCAATTGGAAGCAGAAGGGCATCTGCGTTGTCTGTCACGGGTGAAATGTTCGTTTCTCCAAGGGAAACATCCAAGTATCCAGAGGCTAACCATATAAGCTTTGATCCTTTGAAAAGAAGGGACTCGCAAGAACAGTTGGAAAGGGCAGGGCGGTCGACTGTAGCATTCCAGGTAGATGCAAACCCGTTTGCAGAAACGACAATCATTGTGACGTTGAAAGCGTTTTCATCGGATTCGTACAAATTCATCACAAACATACTTCCATACCCACTGCATATCATCGAATACAAAATGTCGGACAGATTTGACGTTAAACTGCTGTCCACTTGACACTTGGGACAAAGGAGAGGTTTCGGAGTGGGAGTGGACAAAGGAGGTTCGGTTGTTGTAGCTGATAGTGTTGTAGTAACTGGTGGCTCGTTTTCAGTTAACCAGGCGGGTTTGCATTCTTCCAACTGGTACTTGATCATCACAGAACGTTCTGTCGCATAGTAATCCATAGCAGAAATAAGCGCTGGCTGAGTAGAGTCTACATATGTGGTCTGACGCAGACTCAGCTCTACGCAGCGTTTCAACTGGCTCCATCCACCGGCAACTTCAGCTTCATTGGAAGTGAAACCGTTGAAGTACAATGACACGGTTCCATCGTCATCGAACTCAACCTTTCTGACAGACTCTTCATCGGTCCCAACAAGTTTGAGTATCTCTTCTTGAACTGGCTTCCATCCGCTGACCATCTGCACACGGACCAGCAACATTCCACTCTCCTGGACAGGATCCGTCCTCGAGGCTGGACGCAAGCAGGTAGTCAGCATGGCTGTTGTGCATGAATTTCCAGGTGGTGGGTTGGATTGTACCACTGTGGCAGTCACTGTAAATATGTCATCTGTCGTTGAAGTTGGTTCCGGTACGTTATAAAACAATGCAGTCTGGAGAGCCACACAGTGCGTGGCTGACATCGCATCGGTGTTCACCTCCCACATGATCTCCTGTACCTCATTCGGATCAGTGTGTGGAATCGCGATTTGATTGACCACTTGTCGCTTCTGATCATTAAGCACATCATCGATTTTGTAGCCACTTGGAATGACTTTTGCAGACAGGCTAATATTCGTGTTCCCCGGATTGGTTCCATTATACAGCAGACCAGTTGCAGCATGAGCGATTGCTTGCATTGCAAGAATGGTGTCTTGAGTCGAACGGAATCCACCAGTCGACGTTTGTTGCGTCGAGAGCCAACGGACAATTGGGAGAAGTTCAATTGCTTGTTCACGTCTTTCAGCCAGGGTCAGATAAGCATAACTGGTCGTTTCCACATCTAAGGCGTCAGCCCATTTCGAACTTTCCGCATCGTCCGACGACTCATTAGCTGGCCAGTAACTGCGTGGACCTCTGAGAGCATCTGAGATTGTACGGCGACGGCGTATCAACTCTTGTAGGTACAACTCTGTATCATATCTTTCAGGTTGGTACATTTGCAAAGCGTAAGACACCTGGGCCAGGCCATAGGTAGCCACATTTGACAATGGCTCCGGGAGAAGTATATCTCTTGGTACGCCTGCTTTTATGCACCGGATACCGTTGGTGATTATCGACTCATAAGCCTTGGGATCCGTCGCTGCCTTGGTAACCTTCAGGTCGTACAGACTGGATAACACGTAGGCCGTCAGTAGGGCCTGATCGTTCTTCTCTTTCGATCCTCCAAGACCACCTTGCATCGATGATTGAATTACTCTCCCCTTCTCAACGAAACAACCAGAGCCCTCCAGGTCTTGACGTTGTTTCAGAAACGTGAATGTTTCGTTGAAAAGCCGATCCCAATCGATATTGAGGGTTGGATCAACTCGATAGGCTTTGCTGAACACGCGTAGGACAAATGCAGTCAACCAAGTACTGCCGACTTTATCAGATTGGCCAAATGCCGAATAAGACCCGTCATCCAGGCGATATTTCAGCTGACCTTTGTACCCGGTCATAATGTGCGTTCGGGCGCTGTGGATTAACTTCTCCCGTTCTTTGCTGCTCACTTGTGCTCCCGATTTCAAGTATTCTAACACATAGACGTTTGGTGCCACCAGGACCATATTCTGTTCTCCACATCCTGTGGGCAAGCGGACCAGATTGTCTAAGTTGCTTAATGCAGGCCCCAGGACTTCATCGGTATAGGTCAAATAGACACGCAATGAACCAGGGATCATACTCGATGGAACACTAACCGGAGTGGTCAGAACGTTGTGACTAACCCCATCTGGCAGACACAGAATGTCCCCGAAAGTAGCTTCTTTTGGAACACCCTCGGGAATGACACGAATCTGTCGACGAATCATGTCACTCAACGTGTGGACTTGTTTATTAGACTCATCTTGTGATTCGTCACAGAGTTGACTACCTGATATGGCATAAGCCTCGGCTGTAACGTTCAGCTGGCCAAGACGTTGAGGCACCAGACCTAATTGGAACGTTTGCTTTTCTCCGGAGCACACACAACCGGAATAGTCGCTCACACCAACTCGTAGCCAATCTTCCCTTGCAACCCTTGTTGACACTCGAACCTCGTAACAACCCTTTTCCTTCGGATCAAGCTCTTCCTTCCGTGCGACGAACACACTTACAGGCAAATAGATTATTTCTCCTCTTTTCACTTGTTTTGGTAGGGTCAACTCCAAGAAGAATGGCATTGACACGGTGACTGTGTTCGAGTCGGGAATCCACAGTCCATTTGATTTGGTGGTACAGAATGCTGAGGCTCTCCAGGTTGTGATGGAGTCCGGGGCGGTTAAGGACTGTTGAACACCCACGGTGGGTTGACCACTGGAGGAATTGATCTTCCCTATGGGGACCGCTTCGAAAAGCCATACTTCGGGAAAGAAATCTCGTAGTCTTGGTTTTACACTGGGAATACTATTTGCCATCACTGCGTTTGGAGCTGGCATATCAGAATCCATCTGTGAACCAGATCGCATCATGGACATTAGCGGACAAGCTATGATATCCGGCCTGATACGTTCCTTGGCAAAAACCGAAGTGTGGAACATTCCGGCCGCTTGAAATGCTTCTTCGACGGTTTTGGCAACGGTTGGTCTCCACATATTTGCAGAATTGAGTTGCTCAACAGACTTTGCGTAGGTTTCCAAATTAATCAGATTTCTGTTCCCATCGAAATTGTCCAAAGCCACGTCCGACAAACGTATAAAGCATACTTGTTCGGACAGGGTTTCGCCGCTCAAAAGGTTATTTTCCAACGCACTAGTGTCTACCCCTGCAGGACTAACGGTCAGTTCCACTGCCTGACCTGGACTAACCCTCTTCCGACCAAACTGAATCCCTGCTTTGTTGGTTTGGGCTTGTAATGCCATGGCGGGGCTCGTGTAGTTCTCAAGGTCTTTCAGCTCCAACACTGCTGGGATGATCTCTGCCGTTGATTCATACTCAGTGTAAAAGTAGATTATCACAATGGCTTCGGGACCCCAACTACCATCTACAGGGAACGAAATATTTCTTCGATATAGCGTTCTCCTGGGAACGGTTGATGCTTCTGTGGTTGTATCGGGTAGATTGCCGACTGCTTCCGTTTCTTCTGTGCTAACTGGCTCCGTAACCTCTTCGATTGATTCCACTTCCACCTGAGCAAGTTGGCATAAATGACCCTGCCAACCTTTGTCACAAACGCAGTCATTCCCGTCCACACATTGTCCGTGAACACATCCTTCCCGTTTTAAACAAATCTCACAGTTCGATCCAGTCCATCCTTTTCTACATGTACACACCCCAGGCACTTCACAAAACCCTCCACGCGAATTACATCCAGCTGCACATATCGGTTGTAGGCAATCTTTTCCCTGCCATCCACGCAAACACTTAATTCCGTCTGCAGTGTTTTTCTGACATTTGTAGTGTCCCAAGTTGTCGTCTCGATCCTCGCAGTACTCCGTAACTCCATCCAAAGGACGAACAATGTGCTTCACAACTTTTCCGCGTACCATTGTTTGTACAATCAGGGTTTTGTCCAGAAGAGGAACGTTACCCAAAAGGTTCACCGTGACCAATCCGGAAGGACTCAAGCTGAACGCTTTCTCATTGGGCCACACTTGCATCGATGTCCCCGAAAGAGAATCCCAGGCTGACAAATGGGCGTATGCAACAATTTGTTGGGTACTTTGGTCCTCATTCCACGGTGGCATGACTACCCACCGTTTGGCACGCTTGTTAGTGTTATTTAGTGAATAGATTGCTTTGACTGATATGCCACTTGTGGTTGACGGAGGTGGTATAACCAGCTGTGCAAAACCGGTTGAGTCGGGCTTGACTTTTGTGCTATACTGATAACGCCCCTGATCTGGTCTTCTAGACAACGGGTGCCACATGCGAAAGCAGGAATTCCAACTCTCTGAGCATTCGACGGTAATCTCGGCGTCGGCTAAAACAGGCCCGTTTATTTTCAGAGCGATGGATATCGGAAGCCCAGGTTTGTAGACAGACGGAGCTGTGATTTCCATGGTCGCTTGTCTCCTCAGTAGTGCCTCTCCGACCTCACAACGAGTCACGTTCGATCCTGTCCCCTCCTCTTTTACCTCAGCACAAACAATCACGTGCTGTCCCCAAATACGATAATCTCTGTTTTTCAGGTGTAGTTTTTCGGTTGAGGGGCTGAATTTCACACACCCGTCTTTTTGTAGGATGTCATTTTGCTGAACACAAGGTCTGGCAGCGTGTGATCCAGAGTCACCTGGACAGGTACCCGTTATCAGTACATCATCTTCGATAGATAAATCTGTTTCAGGTCTGCCTGGCCCATCACAAACACAAAGGTAGGATCGGACGCTGCCACCCATTGGAGGCCCATTAGTGTACCGAGCGCAGACGGAATACTCGGTGAAGTTAGATTCGAACGTAAGACCTTTCGGAGGGCTAATCTCCACAACAAATCGCGGTAGTACAAAGTGTTTCACGCTAAAACTCAAAGTCTCTGTCTCGCCAAGCACGTTTGCTACCACGGCCCATTTTCCCTCTTGGGCATCTGCAAGCAGTGAGTAGGAGAGTTTGGCCGCCTCAGCCGGACTCACGTTCAGCCACCGTTTCAACCGGTTGCCCTTGTCATCTTTCACATAAATCTCATCATACACCACACGGGTTAGGGTTTCGGCATGTTCACTGGTAAATGTATCAAGCGTTAACTCACCGTCCGTGGCACCTCCCACCAGCTGTTGAGTTGGATAGTTGATTGGACCGTTCAGTGGCACCGTGAATTGCGGTGTTAGAGTCAGGAACCGGAATCTGACATTTTCACCGGGACGATAGATGGGTTTGTCTGTCTCACCCAAAACAATCACCGGTCGTCGCGCGATTCGCGTGTCCGCTGTCAGATGCTTCACTGTCTTCTCTGTGCATTCTGGGTTTGTACAAAACGTCAGAGAGAAATTTAACTGGACATCGGCTGACTTCTCTGTGATAGGGACGAATGGCGCTTTGTATGAAATATCTTGTCCATATAGGTTATCGGGAAACTTCGTGGATAAGTCCAACTGTTTCGTGTCTACGACTTTGTGGTTCAGGCTTGGGATACTGGTGATTAACTGTGCACTAGGAATTTGCTGTAAGGTTCTAACGGAGATCAGGTTCTCGTGTTCCACATACAAAGTTGACGGAACGGTGATGAATGCATCCGGGTCGACGATAGCCGTAGCGTGAAGAGAAAGCCACAGAAGCGTAGCGATGTGCAAGCACAACATGGCTTGTCAGATCGCGACTGGTAGCGAGTTCACTTCGCGTGTAGTTAAGCTCGACAGCCCTGGTGTCTGATTTGCAAGCCACATTTGACCTTCTTGTCGCAGTCGGATTGGTTAACGTGTTAGCTTTGGCTGTGACCTGATTGGAGGTTTCCACTCGAGGTTGTTGGACCCGATCACATTTGATGTGTCCGTTGTCACATTCCATGGCGTGATGTCACGTGGTTACTGTAGCTAACTTATCAGTCCAGTTCAAATTGTTGATGCACACAACAGCCATTGAAGTTGAAAAGTTCATGTTCAGTGGGTTAGTTGTTTGTTTGTAACACATTACTTTCCAGTTCGCGTCCGACCTTACGGTGGTTGTCTCTGTCATACATAGCTGAATTACCTGTCTGGCTGCCCAAATGTTAAATTCGCTATTTTGTTCTCATGCTTTGAGCACGGTCGATCTTTAGGAGATGTCACACATTCGCATAGAGAAACACGTAGCTGGAAACTAAGTTCACATCAACTCTAGTGCACCTTTCAATCATGCTATTGTTCACTTACTGTGCTGAACAGATCCAACTTCAGGTTTCTAATGAATAACATTCAAAATATCAAATCAATTTTCCTCACGAAAAGCTTCTGATCGGGAAACTGCCGATGTAACGATGGATACTACTGGTGGGAGCACGCGAGTAGTATGTTTTCTCGTAAATCCGTTTCGCGTCTCTTGAAAAGTAAGATCTGTTGCGCAATTTGCGGGGTCGCTTTGTGGCACTTGCTTGCAATTCACTAACATTAAATGAATATCCGGGGAAGTTCAGGAAGACGCGTTTAAGGAGAAGATGGATATTCAATTTTGTAAACAAGATGTATATGAGAGGTTTGCTCACCTGTCCAATAGTTTGCAACTGTTCAGTTGGTGTTTCTCTAATAAACGAATCTGCAGCGAAGGCCTTCTTCCTTTCGTCGTTATCTCACATATAGCGGCTATCCCGCCAGTATCTGGCCTCTTCTTCGTATATCCATCCGTCTGTTCTCGCATTTTAGCACCAAATATGGTGCATATCTAACTAACTTCTGTTTGCAGTTTACGTTTCTGTTCATGAGAGACCCAAATGAGTCTCAACTGCACCCTTATTCCAGTGGAAATAATTGGGGGAGTAGAAGAACAGTCATCTCGAGGTGGACAGCTCTGAACCAAAACGACTCCAGTTCCACCGCGAACATGGCATTCGAATGAGTTGCCAAGTTATCACAGTTGGGTACATTTTTAAAGGCCACCTAGTCCCGCCTCCAATGCTCAGCTATCTACCCCACCTCCCCAAATCATTGGTGAACGAAACTGTGGCAGTTACAACCACTGTGCGGTCCTTACAGCTGGCAATGGTGATGATGATGATGATGGTGATCAACAACAAAATGAAATCAGCGCATCAGGCTCTGCAGGAATGGAGTAGGCTTTCTAAAACTGCCTTTCTAACGATTTCTCCATGACGAAGGTGTGTGGCTGCATGGTTTTTGGCGACGAAAGTTATTCAGTCTGACGATCCATTATCTCATTTCGTATCATACGTTTACCTCATGCTGCGGTGACAAGTACACGGTGTCTGTCACGTATCTGTCACCTCGAGCACTTCAGTGAACAGCAGGTGGCGGTTGCGAGACATAGGTTCCAGGTCAGCCATGGCGTTGAGCCGGAAAATTCATTGCTATACTGCACAGATTAGGCCTCGTTGTCTGCTGTTCTGAAGAGCGGATTGTTTTGAAATCAGTCTAGTTAGTTCTAGCACCCTTTCGGTGCCTAGCTGTCATGCCATTCGAAGGAAGAACGAGGGTTGAGATTCTGCGAAGTTATCTAGACAAGGGCAGTCCAGATAACTGAGTGGGACTCGAATCACGAACCTTCTGGTTAGTGAGTTCACATCTTAACCACCGAGCTCTCTCTGGGATCAGGTATTGGTTAGTTGCCACGCAGCCCTTCGCCTTACTGACAAACTAATTCAACTTTTTCTGAGTAGTTGAATACAACAATTGAGTGGTGCCTGTATCCCATACTATATGTGTCCTCGTAATTACACTGTGGAGGCCTGATGTCTTACTCCCATCAACTTGTGGCATAGCAACCTGCGAAATTTTCAGATCAGTACTGTAAATACTGTTAGTTTGTCTACACTGGTTCGATTATGCCGGAATCAGTTTACAGCCCCGACAATCACCTCATTAAATTAGGTGGGCGGTTTCAACTGGGGGCCGTTGTGAACCGGATGTTTTCAACTTTGAAATATAAACACAGTAAGTAGGCTGTAGATGATCACTTTTCGAAACAAGCACACAAGTATCCAGCTGTCAACATATACGATGGAGTGAATGAAGGGATGTGGGTATCAGACAGCTGGAAGATTGACTATTATCTGTGGAAATGTATGACCAGTGGCACAGTAACAAAGATGATCTAACCCTTTATCCATCATTTTTCTTTCAGGACGTGTTGGCAGCACTCAAAGAC